GCACAGAGTACAGTAGAATACAAAAGAACAGAATAAAAATATAGAATAGAACAGAATAAAATAGAATGAATATAAGCATCTTCCAAAATTTTTAATTTCATATCAATTTGAAAATAATGAATATATAAAATGAATCCGAATATACGTACAAAAGAGATTCCAAAAACCATATTGGGAGAACGCTGTAAAAATGCTCTGTGGTTGGAATCCTTACCTGGTCTTTGTGTATACCCTTTAACATCATGAGCACACCAGACCACTCAGCATACGAGGGTCATTGACATTTGGGAAGCAGCTTTTGTGTGCACAGTGGTGGTGAGCTGCACTTCCAATCTCCTTGCTTGGCACCGTGATTTATCACACAAGCACTTTGAAGAAAATTGTGTGGATTTTGAATAGTTTTGAATGTTACTTAAAAACATTAAAGCCCTCAGGCCGGCCCCCCCCAACAAACCTCCGCACCTAACCCCGTGGATGATAGATCCCCCCACCTGAACTGGTAACCAGTATAAATATTAAAAAGGTGAAAACAGGCCGAGGCAATGATCAAAATTATATACTTCATAGTGAATAACGTCCGTAGGCATATTGCCCCATAGGGTCCCCTCCTCCCACAGTCATGTAAAGAATGTGAGTCTCCAACCCCCCCATCTATGGCTACTACATCACTTCAGAGACCACACACTCCTGTTATCTAATGTAAGAGTCCCCCAAATGAGGCTAACATACATGTCCCTGCATAATGCCGGAATGGGGAGTCCCAGTACTCACTATGAGACACATAGAAATTAAGTCTCTGAGGCATCCATCGGTGCTGGTGTCCTGTCTCCTGGGCCTGGGCGTAAGGCGTGGCAGACCAAATCTGGACGAGGTAATGATGAGATCACAGCCAATCCAGTAAGGGTATCGGTTCTAAGTCGAGAAAGATGAAAAGTTCTGGTAAATCTGTCAGGCACCGCAGCAGAAAGGACGTTCCCCCTTTACGGATGGTAAGCTGGAATGGGTACCCACATCGGTAAGAAACATCCATTTGATGCAGCTTCTCAAGAAGGGGTTTTAGAAAGGCTCTCCGTTGTAAGGTAGCTCTAGAGACATCCAGCAGGATAGAGACCCTTGCTCCATCAAAATCTACTTGACCTACCAACCAAGCTTTGGGAAGGACCAGCTGCTTCTGTGTGTACCTGTGCACTTGGCAGATAATATCTCTTGGTCGATTAGGGTCGGTTGGCTTGGGTTCCAGCTCCCTGTGTACTCTAACAAACTCTGGGGCCGGCTTAGGGGACCCATCCAGGACTTTATGTAAGACAGCAGTCACCGTGTCCTGCAGGTTTTCTGGCCCGGTAGCATCCTATATGCCGCGAAGCCTTAAGTTGTTGTGGGGGCTCCTATTTTCTAGGTCTTCCACGTGGAGTTGCAGCTCTACTAGATGTTCCTCTTAGGTCGAGTGACCCTGGTAGACTCGAGTGACTCTTTGCTCCAATGTGGCTACTGAGATTTCCCCTTTATTTAGGCGGTCATCTAAATGACAAACCTAAATGTGAAGCTGTTGATAATCTTTCCGCATTTGTTCCACCATCCTGAACAGCATAGTTTCGATGTCCGATTTGGTGGGGAGGGCCCAAATTAGCGCAATAGGTCCGCTTCATCCCGAGTAGGTGTGTGGAAGGGCTTGGGCTACTCAATGCCTGAGAGGAGGAGGCAAATAACACAGGCACTCCTGACATGGAGCCAGACCCTGTCTGCTGTGAAGCGGCCATGGAAGACAAGGCGTATGAAATGTTTGTCCTCGAGGCACCACGTGGCTCCGGGAGCTGCGATGCTGGTGATGAGTGTAGGCCGTCTGGGAAGAAACGCCCAATTTCCGTGGCTGACGATGCCCGTGGGGTATTCTTGATTTTTCAGCGTTTAGGGTGGCTCATGATGGGTAAAAAAACTGGCATTTCAGCGATAATAGGCAGGTTGGGAGTCGGGAGCTCTAGTAGGACACATCTTCACTCCACCATTGCCAAGCCACGCCCCCAAATTTTCTCTTTTTTATACTTTGTTTTCACCCGGTGATCTGGCCAGTAAGTCTGTTTTTCAACAGAACAGTCTGTTCTGCAGTTGTAGCAATTAGAAGGTTGAGCCAAACTATTTAGTACTGACAGAGATGCTTACAATGGTCAGCTTTTATTTATTTTTATTTATAAGACCTTTATCCCAAAAGGAAAAAAACTGCTGTAACTGATTATAGACTGTAAGCTAGAGTTTGGCTTCAATTTGTTAGTGTATCTAAATCTGCTAGTACATCTAACACACCCCCTACCCCAGATTAGGAATGCTTCTGTCCAAATGTGCCCCCTGTGCTCCTTCTTTCAGAGTGGGGTCACTCTATAACAGGGGGTGTGTTATTGGACCAGGGGCGGACTGACCATTTCGAAACTTGGGCACTGCCCGAGGGCCCAGGTTCAGTAGGGGGCCCCATGAGATGCCCCTGGTACCTTTTTCGTAGGCTTTTTTGAGTTTGGGCAAGGACACAGGGGCCCCATGATCCCCTATTGCCCAGGGGCCCCATGAGTTGTCAGTCCGCTCCTGCATTGGACAGATTTACCAGGTGAAAACAGAGGGGGGAAAGCATACAAAAAGAAAACAAATGCAGCCACCACATCTAATGACTGATAAGCTGCAATGTATTACATATTACAAGTTTGATTTGGGTTTTAATGCTGCTTTAAAGCTGAACTCTAGGCAAATATAAAAGAGACAAATAATGCAGCTCTGTGACCTGATATTTTAAATACAAACCTGTGGCCTGGCATTAGCCCCTTGCAGTCCCTATACTGTAAGGCTGGAGGGTGAGAAGAAAAAGTGGCATAAGGAGCCAATCATTTCATGTGCTAGCAAGATGCCTGCTGATAGGAGGAGAGAGCAGAGTGACAGACAGGCAGCTGAGCTCATCACTGTACAGCTTCTCCTTTTGCTGTCCAGTCACAGACTAGAGGAGGAGTCAATGACAACCTGGGCTCAGAGAAAGTGGTTAGAATGATGCAAACACAAGATATCGGACATCTATTGGCTGAAATAAAGTACTGCATGGTCAATTTCTTAATTGATGGTAATTATTTCCGCAGAAGCTACATCTGCTTTTTATCATTTAATAGGTCATTCTTTTTTAAATTGCCTTATTTATCTTTAACTGCTTCCCCGCCGCCCTATAGTAGAACTACTGCTACAGGGCGGCAGGGCTGTGCAAAAGTATTTATTTATTACAGGTACTTATATAGCGCCATCCATTTCCGCAGCACTTTACATATATATTGTACATTCACATCTGTCCCTAACCCTCAAGGGGTGTACAATCTAAGGTCCCTAACTCACATTCATCCATACACATACTAGGGTCAATTTAGAGAGGATCCAATTAACCTACCAGCATGTCTTTGGAGTGTGGGAGGAAACCGGGAGTACCCGGAGGAAACCCACGCAGTCACAGGGAGAAACATGCAAACTCCAGGCAGGGGGTACTGTGGCTGGGATTTGAACCAACGATCCCAGTACTGCCAGGCGGAAGTGCTAACCATTTAGCCACTGTGCTGCCCAAAATCACGTATATATACGTAGGGGGTGCGTGCCCTACCCGTGCCACCATTGGCGGCTAGGCATGTCAATCACTGGGTCCCAGCTGGAGATTCCCCGCTGGCACCTGGTGACCGCTGAGTAACATTGACGGGAGAGACCTGTGTGTAAACAATACAGGTCTCTCTCCTGCCAGCAAGCACATGCTGCTGTGTATTTCTCTGCACAGAAGAGAAATACAAAGCAGCACGTCTCCCTAGTAAAACACACACACAGCACATTATGTAAAACAGCACACAGTTAACCCTTTGATCGCCCCTCATGTTAACCCCTTCCTGTCCAGTGCCATTAGTACAGTGTTAGTGATTTTTATTAGCACTGATCACAGTATTGGTGTCACTGGGGATGTCAGTGGCAGTCAGTCCCCCCCCGTGTCAGAATGCCCACCGTAGTCCCGCTATAATTCGCTGATCTCCGCCATTACTACTATAAATAAATTAAAACTCCCAGTATCTATACCACCATTTGTAGACGCTGTAATTTTCATGTAAACCAATTAATTTACACGTATTGGGAATTTTTTAAGCAAAGACATGTCGCAGAATACATTTTGGCCTAAATTTATGACAAAATTAGCTTTTTAAATTTAAAAAATTTTTTTTTCAAAATTGTCGGGGTTTTTTGTGTATATCATAAAAAATAAAAAATGCACAGATAATCAAATACCACTGAGAGATCGCTCCATTTGTGGGGGGAAAAAAAAAAGGACATAAATATAATTTGAGTGCAGAGTTGCATGACCGTGCAATTGTCAGTAAATATAATGCAGCACTGCATCTCGAAAAAAGGCCTGGTCAGGAAGGGGGGGGGGGGTAAACCCACAAGAGAGCAAGTGGTTAAAGAGGAACACTTAGGAGGATAAAGGGCCAGTACACAGATATGGTATGGCCGATCATGGCTAACCATGGCTGGTTAGTGACCCTTTCCTTGGTGCATGCTCCAAAGGGCTGTGCAGTGAGCCTCCGCCACAAATCTCCCCGCCTCATACAAGAGCCAACCACACAGCCCCAATGATGGGTATTTGATTACTCTAGCCCGCTGTTCCCTCTGTTTATAAGCCGCCCGAAAGCCACGCTGTTTCGCGCTGCTGTTCGGACGTTGTAGTTCTTTCCTCCATCACCGTCCATAACCCCTCTGCGCAGACCGAAAATCCAAAAACCACAACTCCCGGCATCCACCTCGTCCTCAAAGTCCCGCCTTACGCTCTCAGCAGTGAACAGGAGAAAGGCCCGTCTCTGGCCAATCAGAGAAAGAAGGACGGCGCCCAGGCAATCACAGTTCTGGATTTGAGGCCGTGGGAGGGGCTATAGTGGGAATAGGTTGAGAGGTCGTAGCGGAGGGAGGTAAAAATCAGTCGGTGGTGGTAGTTTGTGTGTGGTGCGGAAATGCCGGTTCATTCCCGAGAGAAGAAGGAGAATAACCACAATGACATGGAGGTGGACTACCCGGAGAATGAGGGCAGCAGCTCCGAGGAAGAGGATACCGACAGCTCCAGCGGCAGCGAGGAGGGAGACAGCTCGGGTAATGATGGGGGGGGGGGGGAGGGGGGTTAGTACTATCCCAGCTCCTCCCAGTAGAGGGCACGGCTGGGCAGGGGGGGATGTGGTCTTCCCCTCATCCGGGGACAGTGATGGAGTGAGTACTCCTCACCTGGACTCCTCTATTTCCGGCAGTCATGGCCGATATGAGGGTTCCTGAACACACTACTATCCATGTGAGGAGGGCCAGTGCAGTGCTCTGCGTATCTGCACATTGTGGAAATATGTTTGTAGCCTGTTATTAAAAAATTTTTTTCTTACTTTTCTTATTGCGTCCCGGGGGCTCACGTGCGCGTCCATGTCCCGCGGGGGGGCTCACGTGCGCGTCCATGTCCCGCGGGGGGGCTCACGTGCGCGTCCATGTCCCGCGGGGGGGCTCACGTGCGCGTCCATGTCCCGCGGGGGGGCTCACGTGCGCGTCCATGTCCCGCGGGGGGGCTCACGTGCGCGTCTGATGCCGGGGCTTACAGTTACTCGGAAAAATGCACTTAGAGAAGTACAGGGTAGGAAACAAAAATTTGATACTCACCTAGGAGGATATAGCATCAGGTCCCTGCTGCTTCTAAGACTAAGAACTGAGCAATCAAACACTGCTGATCACTCAGTGCTCAGTCTTCAGTGAGCTGTGTGGACTGTCAGTCTCCGGCTCTCTGCTCTGACTCTCCAGCACTCACTGGAGTGCTGGGCTGTGGAGGGGGTGAGAGCTGCTGTCTCAGGCTCTGAGTGGCATGCTGAGACTGAGCCAACTGCCAGTCAGGGTTTTGGGTGGATTTCCAGGGCTGGACTGACTGAGTGATGTCAGCTGAAAACTGGTCACAGGAGTGCAGAATGAACTGTTTTCCAGTGATCCATAGGAAAGTAGGGTCAAAAGGGTGCAACGCTTTTTAAAAAAAAATAAAATAAAAAATTAGCACACAGATGTAGACAGGTACATAGGATTATGACACCCTGGGAAAGTGCGTTTTAATGCAGCAAAAGCACACAGGTGTGAAAAGGGCCCACATTCTAGAACTTGCGAGGTATATCCTCCGAGGATCGGATTTTTCCAGCACATCCCACAGATGATTGGTTAGACTGAAATCTGGAGAATGTGGAAGCCAAGTGAACACCTCAAACTACTTGGTGGTTGTTCCTCAAACCATTCCTAAATTCACCGGACCAGACCACCTTCTTCCATTGCTCCATGGTCCAGTTCAGTAAGCATGGGTATCCTGACTGGCTTCATAGCCCCATATGGAGCAAACTGTGATGCAATGTGACCCAGTCTTCCAGCCATTACAATTCATCCCTTGTCAAAGTCGCTCAAATCCATAAGCTTGGCCATTTGTTTCTGCTTTCAACACATCAACTTTAGGGACATGGTCTCTTGCTGCCTAATATATCCCATACACTTTTTCCAGTGTCATTGTAATGTGATTCATAACCAGTCTTAACAGTTTTAGGCTGGGCTTCATTCACACTGCAACAGTCTGGAGGTGCGGTGCAATGAGCTGCAGTAAAATGCGGACATGCTGTATTTTACTGCAGAGCACAGGCACTGCATGTCACCACACTGCGCTGTTGTGCGGGAACATTTTTGCATTTCAACTAAATGTAACAACACCTAAAAACCAGGAAACCGTGTAGTATGCTGAAATGTGCATCACACTGCCTCTTCACTGCAGCCAAATTTACAGCTGCCAGCACGCTGGAGTGTTTAGCATGTGGGCTGTGTGAACGGGGCCATAAAGTGGTAGTTAACACAGTTGGGACACTTATACCCATAGGTAATCTTATAATAAAGATACATGCAGCGTTCAATTACCAAACAAACTAAAAAAAAAAGATGTATAAAATTTAAATACATACAATGGAGAAATTAGCGAGCACTTAAGGTGAGACCCAGCAGCAAACGCACTACAAGGGAACCAGAAACCTTCAACAGCATAAATATTCAAAAAGTGCAGCGCTGTAAATTAAATATCGTATCCAATAGCAATAATATATAAATACAATGATTGTGCAAATAGTCCATATAGTGCAAAAAAATTCAAATAAAGTATTTGTAATGTGTGTGTGTGTGTGTGTGTGTGTGTATATATATATATATGTGTGTGTGTGTGTATGTATGTATGTATGTATGTATGTATGTGTATATATATATATATATATATATATATATATATATATATATATATATATATATATATATATGAGATAAAAGTCCATGTGGAGGTAATATTCTGTCATCAATAAGATAGTAATCTTACGTGAAGATCCCGTACTCGGGTGATCTCAAATACATTCCATGTGATGATAATTCTGTTCACTGAAGTGCTGGGAATATAGTAAAAATGCACACTCACCAGATGCGCAGTTTGTATAAATGATGTGAACTGCCAAAGGTCCCCTTTAAGGTGGAATGGGTATGCAGCCTGGAAAGGATCTCCCTCGTCTGGAGCTGCTCTGCAGCTGTATTTCACATGGGAAAATTAGCAGCTCAGTGCAGAGCCTGTGATCTCAGCCCAGCAGAGAGCACGTCACCCCCCCCCCCCCATACAGATCAGGGCCATGCTGGGGGTGCTGGCAGAGTCCGGGAAGAGTTCAGGATCCCAGCAGTGAAGTCCTAGAGTCCTGGGCTGAGCTCAGAGTGGAGAGGAGGATGAATAGGAGGCAGCTCATGGTTTGCTAGAGGGAAGGGAGAAGAGCAGACATGTCCGCTCCCCTCCCCTTATGCTGACCCGGAAGTGACATTACGATGTCACTTCCGGTTCCCCGTTTGAGAGATTGTAATACAATCCCCGGGAATGAATGTAATATGGTGCACATGGCAACACTTTTTTTTTTTTTTTTTCTTCCCTGTAGCAAAGTGGGGAGGGTTACAGATGACAGGCTGCTGCCATATTGTACACAAATAAGTTGTGCTGAGTTACCTAAAATGTTCAGTTTATTTTTTGTAGCTGGATTTACAACCGATTTATAATGGTGTTACCTGTTCACACTGCTGCGACTTACCATGCATCTTGCAACACATAGTTACATGACAAGTCAAGACACACACATTAATTTCAATTGGTGCCATCTTAATCGATGCAACGCAGTGACAAAAAAAGTTCCTGCACTAATTTTCTGTGACTTTAGTGCCATAGACTGCAATGTTAAATCACAAAAGTCACAAGCAAGTCGCACAGCTTTGGGGTTACAGCAGTATGAACGTCAGCTTTTAAGATTCTTCTCTGTTTGGGGGGGGGGGGGGTTGTCAGCAGTTTTTTTTCGTTTTACTCAGCAATATGATAGATATAAACTAAAGGAAAAACACAAGTGTTGTTGATGTGCTTGTGCAATGGCCACTGGCCCATCTTAAATCAGCTGTTCTGCCTAAAACTGCTAGATATGCTTGAAACTGTTGCAATACTCTTCCCACCCAGCAGATGGCAGTACAGGTCTCTTCAATACATTTAAAGCAGTTCTCTCTCAGCACTTGAAAAATGAAAGTGACTGTACAGATAAATAGTAGGCAGCCTCCAATGAAGTATACTTACTGGCATCTCCTCATTTATGCTGTGGAAGCTCTTAACGTACAGCATTAAATCATTAGATAGAATAAACCTGCGCAACTCTCTCAAACAGGTCCTGGGGTAGCCTAGATGACCCGGCATTTTGAGCAGACTTTTTTTTTTTTTTTTTTTTTTTTAAAGTGGAACTTTAGTCAGCAAATTAAGTCCTGCTGGATCACTTCAGGCTGGCCCCTTTTGCTTGTATAGCTAGGTAAAGCATTTATAAAGTATCTATACTGTTTAAAATCCAGTAATACACTTACTCTGCTCTGCACATGCTCAGTTGCTCTCTACTACTTTTAGGCACTATGCCGTATTTGTAGAGGCCAATCTATTGACAGCCTAAATAGTTACTGTTGCTCAGGGGCTCTAGGATTCAGCAATATGGCAGCCTCCAGCAAGAAGAAATCAGAACAATACTAGAGGCAATTCACAGCACACACTAATTTTGGTATCATAATTATTAATGTGGAATGTATGTTCCTTGCTAAAGAACATTTATTTTTTTTATCAAGCTATTATGAGTAATGTTCTGCTTTAAGTTTGAAATTCCAGAATACCAAGCTTGTATAAAACATCAGGCTGATCCAACAAATGATTTCTATTATGAGGACTCATTTAGGGCAACTGTTATTCTCATATTAGATTAGTTGGCCAATTGTTTAGATTGGATAAAAAGCAATTGTTTAGATTTGGGAAAAAAAAAAAAAAAATATATATATATATATATATACAGTCATGGCCGAAATTGTTGGCACCCTTGATATTTTTCCTGAAAATCAAGTATTTCACACAAAAAAGGTATTGCATTAACACATGTTTTGCTATACACATGTTTATTCCCTTTGTATGTATTGGAACAAATATAAAACAGAGGCAGAAAAGCAAATATGACATAATGTCACACAAAACCCCAAAAATGGGCTGGACAAAAGTATTGGCACCCTTAACTTAATATTTGGTTGCACACCCTTTGGAAAACATAACTGAAATCAGTCGCTTCCTATAACCATCAATAAGCTTCTGACACCTCTCACCCGGAATTTTGGACCACTCTTCCTTTGCAAACAGCTCCAGGTCTCTCTTATTGGAAGGACACCTTTTCCCAACAGCAATTTTAAGATCTCTCCACAGGTGTTCAATGGGATTTAGATCTGGGCTCATTGCTGGCCACTTCAGAACTCTCCAGCGCTTCTTTGCCATCCATTTCTGAGTGCTTTTTGACGTATGTTTGGGGGTCATTGTCCTGCTGGAAGACCCAGGATCTTGGACGCAAACCCAGCTTTCTGACACTGGGCCCTACAGTGCGACCCAAAATCCTTTGGTAATCCTCAGATTTCATGATGCCTTGCACACAGTCAAGGCACCCAGTGCCAGAGGCAGCAAAACAACCCCAAAACATCATTGAACCTCCACCATATTTTACCGTAGGTACTGTGTTTTGTTCTTTGTAGGCCTCATTCCGTTTTCGGTAAACAGTAGAATGATGTGCTTTACCGAAAAGCTCTATCTTGGTCTCATCTGTCCACAAGACGTTTTCCCAGAAGGCTTTTGGCTTACTCAAGTACATTTTGGCAAACTGTGTAGTCTTGCTTTTTTATGTCTCTGTGTCAGCAGTGGGGTCCTCCTGGGTCTCCTGCCATAGCGTTTCATTTCATTTAAATGTCGACGGATAGTTCGCGCTGACACTGATGCTCCCTGAGCCTGCAGGACAGCTTGAATGTCTTTGGAACATGTTTGGGGCTGCTTATCCACCATCCGGACTATTCTGCGTTGCAATCTTTCATCAATTTTCCTCATCCGTCCACGACCAGGGAGATTAGCTACAGTGCCATGGGTTGCAAACTTCTTGATAATGTTGCGCACTGTGGACAAAGGCAAATCTAGTTCTCTGGAGATGGACTTGTAACCTTGAGATTGTTGATATTTTGCCACAATTTTGGTTCTCAGGTCCTCAGACAGTTCTCGTCTCCTCTTTCTGTTGTCCATGCTTAGTGTGGCACAGACAGACACACAATGCAAAGGTTAAGTGAACGTCTCTCCTTTTTATCTGCTTTCAGGTGTGATTTCTATATTGCCCACACCTGTTACTTGCCCCAGGTGAGTTTACAGGAGCATCACATGCTTGTAACATTCTTATTTATCCGCAGTTGTGAAAGGGTGCCAATACTTTTGTCCAGCCCATTTTTGGAGGTTTGTGTGACATTATGTCGAATTTGCTTTCTTTCCTCCCTTTTTTTTGTTTTGTCCCAATACACACAAAGGGAATAAACATGTGTATAGCAAAACATGTGTTAATGCAATACGTTTCGTGAGAAATACATGATTTCCTGGAGAAATATCAAGGGTGCCAACAATTTCGGCCATGACTGTATATATATATATATATATATATATATATATATATATATATATATATATATATATACATATATACTTACTTTCCAGGTTGAATCTGCTACATATCTGACACAGGGGTCAGAATTTATATTTAACCGGTTCCACACCGCCCTATAGCAAAAATACTGCTACAGGGCGGCACGTGTGCACAAAATCGTGTGTGTATATATATTTTTTATATATTTTGCAGTTCCAGGTAGTGTGTGTGTGTGTGTGTGTGTGTGTGTGTGTCCTACCCACGCTGCCTTTCGCGACCTTGTCTGCCAATCACTGGGTCCCAGCCGGTGATCGCCGAGTGTCTCTGGGGGAGAAACCTGTGTGTGAACAATACAGATCTCTCCCCTGTCAGCTCCTGCACACTGCTTTGTATGGCTCTGCATTACTGTATTGGTGTCACTGGTGATGTTGGGGACACCATGTCAGTTTTCCCCAGTGTCAGAATGCCTGCCGCAGTCCCGCTATAAGTCGCTGATCGCTGCCATTGCTAGTAAAAATGTTACAAAGACATGTAGCAGAATACATTTTGGCCTAAATTTTAAGACTGAATTAGATATTTTTTTTTTTTTTTTTAATTTTTACTGGACATATTTAAAGTCAGAAATATTACTTTTATTTTATTTTTATTTTTTTCTCAAAATTCTTTTTTTTTTTTTTTTTTTTTTTTTTTTTTTTTATAGCGCAAAAAATAAAAAACCGCACAGTCAATCAAATACCACCGAAAGAGAGCTCAATTTGTGTGTGTGTGTGGGGGGGGGAGGACGTAAATTTCATTTGGGTGCAGTGTTGCTTAACCGGTATGTCGCTCTACTTCTCTTCCTAGTGAGCTGTGATTTGACCCACAGCTCACATGGTAAATGGGCAGCACCCTGTTCCCTGTAATCAGCTGTTGCCAGTCACAGATTACTAGTATTTTGAACTGTCATGAACTTAACCCATTCATGACCGTTCAAAGCCAGCATTGCAGAGCAGTAATCTTAATTGCTCCTACAATGCAAAGTGTATGTTACTATGGTAACATTGAACTTCTCCAATTGGTAGTAATTTTTTTTTTAAAAGAATAGTACAAAAATTTTAAGGTGTTTTTTAAAGAAGAAAAATTTTTCTCCATTTTATTTTTAATTACTTCCCGCCCGACAGAATTGTGCAGCCAAGTGACTGTTCTGAACAAACCCTTACGTCGCTTTCTATTTCCATGTGTTAGTGTGTATGTGTGCTGCCCCCGTCAGTCCAAGGAGAAAAGAGAACACCGCACTGAGTAAAATCACTACTTTTACTTACACACTCACACTCTAGATTAGCACATTTAACCCTATGATTGCTCCGCCACGCAGCCAGTGCTATTAGTACAGTATATAGAATTATTCACTGATCACTGTATTCCTGCCACTAGTGACATCAGATAGTGTCAGGATCAGTTAGCACACCCCTCCCAGCTAGCGTTAGATTACCCTCACACTCACACTATAGGTTGCTGATCACCGCCATTACTAGTATAGTGTTTGCATGGATCAACCTATTGATCACGAACAGAACTATACTAGTGCCCCCTTAGTGTCCCCAAAAAACGGTGTTGGGGTCAACCCCGTTTGCTGCCAGCACTAGCGTTTAGCCCCTCTGCTGTTCTTCACAGAAGATTTGTATCAATTGATTGTGAGCCACAGCAATTTATACGCACAACTATGCAACGCTGCCCACCTAAGTTCAGCTCTTGCCAGACAATTTATATGGAAACCTATCATGGCTTCCAAATTTAAGACTTTTTTTTTTTTTTTTTTTTTTTTTTTTTTGGCACACCCTCAACATGGGCATTACAAAAGGAATGAATTGCGGTCATATTGGTCCACAGACCCGATTCATCATATGCCCATGTTCTCTGCTGTTACATATACGCCAAACAAGGACCAAGAACATACTGGTACGTCGCTGGAGTTTGGTTATATAAAGATGATGCCTGCATCTGCAGGCATCATCCTGGTATTGTTTTTTTCAGCTGATGGTCAGCTTTCATGTAAAACAATCCTTGTGGCTAATTGGGCTCAGGATCGCTTTTAGAAGCAGCGGGAAGGGATGGGACACCCCAGCAAATTCGGAAAAAAAAAAGTAAAAAATGGACGACCACTCGTCCACTATTCTCATCGTGTACGAGGCTTGAGTCATCTCTTATCAACATACAACAATGCAAGAAGCTAAGTTTCCAAACCTGTTAACCCTTTGTTGGGACGGTGCTCAGATCTAGTATACAACTGATAACGAAAACAAAAGTACCTCTCTGTGGGACATTATAAGCAATATGTACACCATATCTATAAAAGGCTAAATAAGCCAATCTTTATTACAAAACTTATAATAAAAAACCCATAGAAACAATACATACTTGGCAAATATAGATATATAGAAACAGCCTGTTATGGAATACGTTCAGAATATACCCTAGGTGCCCAGTGTGGCTTGATGGCTCTAAAATGTAGCATGTGGACAGAACCCAACACATTTCAGAAATTCCTTCTTCGGGAGCAGAAAAGGATATGTCGTATCTATAATGTAATCAGATATTATACATGATGGCAAAAACATCACACTGTCACATAATTTTTGTTACATGGATCCAGGTCATACTCGCATAGTGAAATATAAAGACATAACGGATCATCTGTATTCATATATCCAGCAGGGGCCGGTTATAGAGCGGGGCAACCGCAACATCATGTATGTGCTAAAGCAACCTAATGCACATCAGGAAAGCTAACTAATAAAGGATTTGTTTAGGATAGGTGCTATGGGGGTTGCTATAGACACCCCAAATATGGTGCATCCCAGTTACCACCACCTAAAGGTGGTTCTGTAAATGCTTGAATAAATAGCCAGAAAAAAGAAAGCGAGGGCGCTAAAAATGTAGATGTCCCAACCAGGGACTTGAAGCACCCAGAATGGAGTACCTATGGAGCATTAACATGACTCCATATAGATGCCTGGCATAACAAAACTGTACAAATGATTAGAGTGAGGGCTTTTGAGTGATTTTATCCCTTCTCACCCTAACATGTATTGTTTATTGCTGCGGTGTTTGTTTTGATTTTTTTTTTTTGCCTTTCAAAGAATTTTCTTTTAATTGAAACAATGTAATTTGTCTTATAGAGATGGATGATGAGGACTGTGAGAGGCGACGAATGGAATGCCTTGATGAAATGTCAAACCTCGAAAAGCAGTTTACGGATCTTAAAGATCAGTAAGTATTTGCTGAACTGATGTATTTTAAAGTGGAACTAAACCCATCAATTTTTAACAGTTTAAAAAACATAAATGTTACATTCCCAGTATTCTGGGAATGCTGTTAGGTTTGCTTGTGCTGTCAACCAAACTGTCAAATCATCAAATGACTGCTGTCATAACAGATTAGGTGTGCAGCACCATGGCAGTTGAAGATCAGAGGCTAGGATGGCAGCCTCCTTGGCCGAAAAAGATAGGAGGTCTTGGTTCCTCTTTCAGGTGTCTGTTTATGAAAGAGAGAAGCTGCAATCCTCAGGATCATAGCTGATTTCTCATGTATACTGGTTTATGTAGTTAAGGAGCAGAGAACATGTTATCCACTTCTCATCACAGCACACAACTGTTCTCTCACAAACTGCTGGTTTAAGAAAGTAAGACTTGATGAGAGAAATAACTCTTAGGCCTGTTCACATCTAAGCCATTTAAAATCACAGTCAGCATTGTGTGATTCTGCCTGCGACTCCAATTCATGCGAAAATGTGCAAAGCGCTTCTGGGTGCCGTTCGTTATTAGGGAGTCACCGAAATTCCGGTGGCCGAGACGTTTTTGGCCAAAAACACCCCTTTTTAGCTGTCGGCCGAAATGAAATAAAGCACCGATACAGGTGCCGAAAACCCGCCCCTCGCTGCCGCCTGCCCGCTGGCTGCCACTCGGTAGTTCAGTCTTACCTTAAACTATAGATCCTGGCACTGGACATAGAGATGAGTGAAGGAAAGATGGCCACCACACGTGTCTATGCCCTTGGAGGACCAGAGCGATGTCACTTACAGTTCCTGCCTTTTTTTTTTTTTTTTTTGTACTAGATCAATGCTTTTTTTTTTTTTTTTTTTTTGATCTAACACTTTAGATTGTAGAGGAGAGATGTGGGGTCTTATTGACCCCATATCTCTCCATAAAGAGGACCTGTCACTAATTATTTCTGTCACATGGGATGCCTTTCTTGTGACAAGAATAAAAGTGATTACAATTTTTTTTTAAAAGGAATAGTGCAAAAAATTATTATTATTTTTTTTTTTTTTTTAAGTTTAAGGTGTCCCCGTGCTTGCACATAGTGGTGAACACATACGTAGGCCATGCCCACATATGCAAACTGTGTTCAGACCACACATGTGAGATATTGCCACGAACATCGGAGCAAGAGCAATAATTCTCACAGTAGACCTCCTCTGTAACTTTACACTGCTAACCTGCAGAAATCTGTAAAGCATCACCAATGGAGATTTTTAAGTACCACAATTTTTCGTGCCATTCCACGAGCGTGCACAATTTTAAAGCGTGACATGTTGGGTATCTATTTACTCGCCCTAACATCCTCTTACATATTTTACTAAACAATTGGGGTATATATTGTTTTTTTCAAAGTGTATTTATTTCCAAAAAATATATATTCATTTTTAAAAACTGCGCTTTTCGGCCAAATGCATTTTGGTTTTTCAGTTACGGCACCCGAATTTTAATTTCGGTGCACCACTAATTATTAAAGTGTTACTAAACCCAGGACCCTGCATTCACTATATCTGATCTTCCACAGTACATGGAAATGCAATTATTTTAGTAAATATAAACCGCTAAATACCTTTTTTTCTCAGCAGTTAGAGCAGTCTTGTGACTTGTGTCCAGCAAAGCGCTGGTTAAAACTTGGAGGAGGAGTTTTCATTCTCCTCTGACTCTTTGAGGCTGTATGACCCTTGACCCTCTGTCTGGTCAGTGCTGATTGACCCTGTGCTGATCACATGCACGCACCCACCACCAAAAAAAAAAAAAAATCTCTAGCAATACACACCAAACTGAGCACCAGCAGATGGATTGGTGACTGAAGGGCAGGATAAGAAAACACAGGTTCAAACAGCCTTTTTGCACAATGTGGAGGATTAACCCCTTAGGTTCCACAGTGAGTATAATCATGTTTACTGCATATACAAACTGACTTTACTGTTGTGATTCATTAACACTTTAATGGCACACCAAATGTGGTTAGTGGACATGGATTTTGCCGAACATTTTGTCATGTTGCACGCGCTACAAAGCACCAAAACACGCTTTGAACCTTTTTTCAGGCATGGAGCATTGTGCTTTTTCAGTTTTGCCTTTTTAATGTGCATTTTGATGCGGTTTTTTTATGCACAGTTAGCACATTTTTTTAATGTGCATTTTTGGTGCTTTTTAACATGCAATTTGACTATTTTTCAACACTCCATTCACACTTGTGCGTTCCATGAATCTGCACAAACACATGTTTTTGTGTGCCTTCCAGAAACAGGTACAAAATGCATGTCACGCTTGCGGTGCAATCACTTGTTAATAGCACCCCAAACGAGGCTAGCAAAAGCATGGTTTGCCAAAATGCGCATAAAAATGTGTTTTTAAAGACCAAAATAATCTTAATGCACTGCAATGCTGATTAAGGAAAAAAAAAACTGTGCCAAAATGTGCATTAAAAATACATCGAAAGTATTTGGCTATATTCAGTAAAAATATGCGTAGGATACAGTTGCTCATACAAGCCAATGAAACTTCAGTTTACGATAGCTGTGACGTTAATGGCATGTTGCTTAAAATGATTGCTTATTGAACTCTACCAGATTATTTTGTTTAGGTAGCTTCCTCCAAATTGTCTTTTCAACCATCATTCTGCAGTATTCCATAACTGTTCTCTGTTCAAATGAAAATGGCTACTAAACTATCTAAATGTAGTGAAACCCACAAAGAACAGACTTGGATGACTGATACAGTTTTGCCTTGTTACATAGTTATAGAAGCCATATTTCTTAGCACAGGGGAAAGGTTTAAAGCCAGGATGGGTTGCAGGCAGTTAGTTGATATTTGGACTATCACTTGTTGTCTGATCAGGGATATCTGATCTTTGACTGTTTTGTACAAAGAATGATACTCCAGAAGCCAAGTGCAGCCTTATATGGTGACCTTGTTCAACATTCATGTATACATTTGTACTCTGGTATTTCATCTTTTATTTAGAAAATGCCTGGATACATTTTACAGTTAACACAGTACAACATTATTTGTTCTGTAAATTGAAGGTTCACATTCAGATGTGTTCATCGCCATAGAAAGCACACTTTCGCTGAAGTAAATGCTTTACCCTCCCTTACTAATTGCCAGTTGTCTGCTCTTTTTGTTGCTTTTGTTCATTTACTTCTGGAAATGAATAATTAGGAGAAAGATACAGAATACAGTTACCTAGCTATTTTGTTAACCACTTTGTTTTCTTTTATTTATAGACTTTATAAAGAGCGGTTGAGTCAAGTAGATGCCAAATTACAGGAAGTAATAGCTGGTAAAGCTCCAGAATACCTAGAACCACTTGCTGCTTTGCAGGAGAACATGCAGATCCGGACAAAGGTGGCAGGTAGATAAAATTGTTTTTATTGGACATGAATATGGCATCACTTTATCTTGTCTTCTGGGGAAATGCCAGGTTGTACCATGCTTACAAACAATACAAAGGTGCTGGAACCACTGCGTTGCAATAGTACTGCCCTTGCCATAACACATGCAGATTGAAATAGGCAAGCCATTGTTGGTCAGGTCTCCTGAAAATGCTAGTGTTCTGTCTTAAACTAATCCTGTAGCTTTAAAGCATTTGCAAGGCTAATTTATCATTTTAGAAAAAAAAGTATACTTGCCTGCTCTTTGCAGTGGTGCTGGCGCCTCCCCATAGCAAGCTGTGTTAGGGGGCCATTCATGTGGGCGTGCTCCTGAGCCCTGCTGTGTGTCCGTTGACGAGCCCTGCTCATGGGATTTGATTGACAGCAGCAGCATCCAATGCCGCCCAACTCTGCCTCTGTGCCCGGAAAGAATTGGAACAGAGGCAAGTGCCACTACAGACTTACACAGTGCTGGATCAAGAGGACTCTGGTAAGTATATAGGGTGGAGGACCATAACTACTGGGACATTTTTTATTCTTGTGCGGTGTTGCTATGATTTGACAAGGTATTTGTGCATGGTGGCTAGAGCAACTGCCCTTTAATAAATTCTGCATAGAGAACTGTATGGACAAAATTCTTGGAAGGAAATTTCTATAACTGTATGCTGGAATCCCTGTTAAAATTGGCATATGCCCAGTGGAGTTGCATTGCCATGCCTGCACACACAGCACCAGATTACCTTGAAATGTCTCAGCAATCTGTATTGAACAGATTTATAAGGCTGCCTTTAACATCTGTGGTGGAATAACTATGCCTAAGCCCAGATTGTGTGGGTTTTTTTTTATCCCCCCCCCCCCCCCACTGCTCTAGAAGCTTGGTTAAAGAGACATTGCTCATGGGCTCAAATTTTTGGGTTATCCAGTTTATTACATAATCTAACATAGTGCATGGTGTGGCATTGAGGCCATTTTTCCCTTTTTCTCTTTTGCTCAGCCACATGAAGGGTAAGCTTAGGTGTATCTAGGTGCATGAAGCAGCCTAAAAAGGTTCGCACAGAGCCTGACAGTTGGTGTGGCTGATAAAGCCACATACACAAACAATTACAGATAAATGCCTCATTCATCCTTACTGGTTGCTAAGAGCTCTGTCACCATTTAATAAAAAAAGTGTGTGTGTGTGTGTGTGTTCAATCACCTGACCTGAATCCGATTGAGCATGCATTTCACTTGCTGAAGACAAAACTGAAGGGAAAATGCCCCAAGAAGAAGCAGGAACTGAAGACAGTTGCAGTAGAGGCCTGGCAGAGCATCACCAGGGATGAAACCCAGCATCTGGTGATGTCTATGCGTTCCGGACTTCAGGCTGTAATTGACTGCAAAGGATTTGCAACCAAGTATTAAAAAGTGACCGTTTGATTTATGATTATTATTCTGTCCCATTACTTTTGGTCCCTTAAAAAGTGGGAGGCACATATGCAAACTGTAGTAATTCCTACACCGTTCACCTGATTTGGATGTAAATAAAGCTGACAGTCTGCAGTTAAAGCACATCTTGTTCGTTTCATTTCAATTCCATTGTGGTGGTGTATAGAGCCAAAAATGTTAGAATTGTGACCATGTCCCAATATTTATGGACCTGTGTGTGTGTGTGTGTGTGTGTGTGTGTGTGTGTATATATATAATAAATAATAATTAATATATATATATATATATATATATATATATATATAATCTCCATAAATAGACCACCATTACGTCTCTGGTCTGTCACACCATAGTGATGTGGCTTTTGCTTGGGTTTTAACCTGCAAGCATGCGAATAACATTGCTTTGTTGCCCAAGATATAGGTAATAAATGTAATTCAAAGTAAATGCACAAAGATATGTATGTGAACATCTATAGTTATGATGCACAGACCAATAGTAAAAGACCTCAGAGGGCATGATCTACTTTTATCATTGGCCTGATACTGAAAAATAAGTTGACCCTTTTGGGATGGATTTGCTAAAGGCAAATAGACTGCGCAGTTGCACTCATTTTCCCCAGAGCTTAGCAAATGTGATAAAGCTTCACTCTGTAAATAATATCCAAATCAGGTGCAAGGGGGAAAAAAAAAACATCATTTTTGCTATCACATGATAGAAATCGTCAGAGCTTTACTTCATTTGCTAAGCTCCCCGTTTGTGTTTGCATAAAGGGTCCGTATGTCTACTCTTGCATTATCCCTTCTCTCTTTTGAAATTCCATTTTCTCAAATTTCTATTTCATTGCAATTCTGTTTTTAGGGATATATCGTGAGTTGTGCCTAGAGTCTGTAAAGAACAAACATGACTGTGAAATCCAGGCTGCCCGCCAACACTGTGAGGTAACGTATGCTCGAGCAAATAGATGTTGTGTACTTCTTATTCTACACACTTTTTATATATCTAAAATTCTAATGTGGGGGAGTTCAGTCTTGTGTAGTAGGTACATCAGAGATCTGTTTGACCGGCTTGCAGTAATGAGCATGAATGTTAAGGCTCATTCCCATCCATGCTACACAACGCAGGGCCAACACAACCACAATGTAAAAATACATTTTTCAATGGGCCCAGTTCTGGGAGAAAATAAGGCATTCTGCATTTATCTGCCTTAATATCGCCAGATGTATATATGCACGGCCTCCTATTAATGTGGTTATACAGGGATCATTGTTGAGGCTACAAACATGATCCCACTACCCTTTTCTTCAGCAGCCGATTCCCTATCTTGTGTAAGTGATCCGAGCTGTTATACAGTGTGTGGGGTGTGTTGTTTTTTTTTTTTTTTTTTAGTGCTTTTTGCAGAAACTCCCTACAGTCCATTTAACATGGTTTCCTATGGGATACGTTCACATCTATGCTTTTGTGAGAAGCTTTATTCTTTGGTCAGGGAATTTTTTTAAACATAAAGCAGCGTTTTCTCTACAATAGAGTTCAATGAAGATGCTGCTGAAATGTTTATCTGTAAACTGATAACCTGTAAAGGCTTTTAAAGCTTTCCCTATGGAGATTTTTATGTACTGTAGTTTGCACACACCTGTAGAACGGCAGCAATTTTAAAACGACATGTTTGGTATCTTTTTGTGCAGTAAAATTCAAGAAAGTGTGTGGGTTTTTTTTTTTTTTCTTGAATGATTGTTTGATAAGCTGCTGCGCAGATATAATTCAACATAGAAAAAAAAATTGCAACAGGAACCACTTTATTCTCCAGGGTCTCTGCATAAAACATATATAATGTCTGGGTTTTTAAGTAATTTTCTTGACTACTTGACTATTGTCATGCTGCTTCAGCCTGGTCACGTGATCTCCCCACTGCCATCCAGCAGCGGGTGCGAAGAGAGTGCTGCACAACCAGTGGTGTCACCCATAGGTCCCTTTCACATGGGCGTTCTGTATGTCCGGTGTTCATCTGTCCGTTTACAGATGAAAAATGGGCAACCATGTATAACTAGCCGATGTAAACGGATGATCATCTGTTAACATCCATTGTGTGTTTTGGTTTGTTTGTTTTGTTGTTTGTTTGGGAGAAAACACTTTTCTTTCTTTCTTTCTTCCTTTCTTCCCTCCTTCCTTTCTTCCCTCCTTCCTTTCTTCCCTCCTTCCTTTCTTCCCTCCTTCCTTTCTTCCCTCCTTCCTTTCTTCCCTCCTTCCTTTCTTCCCTCCTTCCTTCCTTCTTCCCTCCTTCCTTCCTTTCTTCCCTCCTTCCTTCCTTTCTTCCCTCCTTCCTTCCTTTCTTCCCTCCTTCCTTCCTTTCTTCCCTCCTTCCTTCCTTTCTTCCCTCTCCTTCCTTCCTTTCTTCCTTCCTTCTTCCTTCCTTTCTTTCCCTCCTTCCTTCCTTTCTTCCCCTCCTTCCTTCCTTTCTTCCCTCCTTCCTTCCTTTCTTCCCTCCTTCCTTCCTTTCTTCCCTCCTTCCTTCCTTTCTTCCCTCCTTCCTTCCTTTCTTCCCTCCTTCCTTCCTTTCTTCCCTCCTTCCTTCCTTTCTTCCCTCCTTCCTTCCTTTCTTCCCTCCTTCCTTCCTTTCTTCCCTCCTTCCTTCCTTTCTTCCCTCCTTCCTTCCTTTCTTCCCTCCTTCCTTCCTTTCTTCCCTCCTTCCTTCCTTTCTTCCCTCCTTCCTTCCTTTCTTCCCTCCTTCCTTCCTTTCTTCCCTCCTTCCTTCCCTCCCTCCCTCCTTCCTTCCTTCCCTCCCTCCTTCCTTCCCTCCCTCCCTCCCTCCTCCTCCCCTCCCTCCCTCCTTCCTTCCTTCCCTCCCTCCCTCCTTCCTTCCTTCCTTCCCTCCCTCCCTCTCCTTCCTTCCTTCCCTCCCTCTCCTTCCTTCCTTCCCTCCCTCTCCTTCCTTCCCTCCCTCCCTCTCCTTCCTTCCTTCCCTCCCTCCCTCTCCTTCCTTCCTTCCCTCCCTCCCTCTCCTTCCTTCCCTCCCTCCCTCCCTCTCCTTCCTTCCTTCCCTCCCTCCCCCTCTCCTTCCTTCCTTCCCTCCCCTCCCTTCCTTCCTTCCTTCCCTCCCCTCCCTTCCTTCCCTGAACTGATGGGGAAAAGAAGAAGCAGAACTCCTGTGTGAAAGGACCCATAGGGTTCAATGGCCCATCTGTTGGCATGTCCTCCTCTTCCCTGCAGCCATGCTGACTGATGCAGGGAGAGCCCAGTCATGGGAGTAGACTGGAGGGGCCTGAAAATAGCATATATACTGTATACATCTTTCTTACCAAGGGTAGTTTGCACCAGTTGTTAGGAGAGGTGAGCTGACTGTTTTAAGGCTAGTTAGGAATTCCACTTTAAACACGTTGTGGTGTGTTTTTTTTTTTTTTTATATATACCTACTACAACTTTTGTCTGCAAAACGTTCTTCTGCTTTGCAGAGTGAGAAGCTTTTATTGTATGACACTGTTCAAAGTGAACTAGAAGAGAAGATTCGCAGACTGGAGGAAGACCGTCACAGTATTGATATTACATCTGGTAAGCTTAAATATGTGAAACTGATATCGAACTACATATCATGCCTGTTCTAATATGATCCTGTAAGGAGACAGATTCTATTCTGTGTCATATATGTTACTATAGTTATGGATTTTTTCCTGGCTGTAAGGATAGAATGGTTTTTATGTTCAAACTTTTTAAGGCATGCAACAGCACAGAACTGCATGCAGCTGGCCAGCTTAGTATTTTTCATGTTGGCCTACGTTCCCCATTCTTATTTAAGCTCCTGGTCTCTTCAGTGACCTTGCACATATAGCACTAATTATTAGCTGTGAGGGAGTGGAGTTGAGGTGATGATGTTCTATTACATGTATAGTGTTGCAATGTTCTAGCAGATACAAATATTGATGGGTTATAAAGGAACTGTTAGCAGCTCATTTACTGGCACAGAGCATGCCTAGTATGCTTCTGAGAACCTTGCTCATTTTTTCAGGTATTTGTCATCAAGCTGTGCAATCTGATCTAGCTTTAAATGGGTTCTTGCAGTTTAGGGTGTTAAAGAATGTCAACCCTACATTCCATATTCCTGATATGTGCCTGCTGTACCATGTACTTGTATGAAAAAGTATCCTGTTCCCTGTGTATTGCTCCCTTTGTGTGAAATTTCTGGTGTTTCTACCAGTCGCACTGCTTCCCTATTACAAACTGACCACACTAGCCATGAGAGCAGTGTGGTCATTTTTCTGGCTGTGCTGGGAACCTAGTCTTCTCTTTTCCAATGATCAGACTTCTGCTGACATGTCCCCTCTGCACAGCCATTCACTGGGAAGATTAGTGTAATGCTGTTTTCATCCTCCCTGAACTCCCTATGCAGCTGAGAACATAGGGTGTGTTATCGCGTAAAAAGCAGCCTTTCTCAACCTTTTCATTGCAGAGGAACCCTTGACATAACTTTCCGGTCTCCGGGAACCCCCTCTAAAAATGGCTTTATCTACAATTCATGATACGTTGGTGTGATAGTCAGGGGGAAGAATACTTCTTACACTTGTGGTCATTGGGAAGAATTGTCCCCTTACAAATTGCTAAAAAGATCAATGGCGTCAGTGGGAATTTACCTGAGAGGCAAAAATTGTTCATTGCTCAAAGAACCACTGGAGGAACCCTGGTTGAGAAACCCTGGCTTACAGGGATTAAAAAAGGTGTTTGTGATGGTGTTATGCACAAATGTTTTGCCTTTCACTTCTATTTTAAACTGAATGTTTTACAAGGTAAGCGTTTACATATACTTTAACTAGAAGGGGCAAGACTTTCTGGTAATTTAGAATAATGCAAAACATACAAGTGGCATCAAACCCAGTTGATTAACTCCATATAATCCTTAAAATCTGATGAACCATAGGGCCAATTAGGCATTGATATCCCTTCCAGTCAGTGCAGAAAGCGATGGCAAATTCCTTTTAAACTGGGACACTGACAAAACACACAGCATTTTTAGTAGAGAAGGTTTTGGGGTCCATGCACACTGGGGGCAGAAAAATACCAGAACCTCTGGCAGAAAAAAAGTTCATAGTGGCTCGTATTGCACAAGAGTTTATCGGCATTTACTTTTTTAGAAGCATTTTGTTTCCCCAAAACAATGTAAACTTGAATATGCTGAACACGGATGGATGGGCAAGTCACTTTGTAATGGGGGACAACTGAGTTGAACAATTTTTAATTTTTTTTCTAATAGGGCAGGGTAGGGGCTCAATGCGCTTTCCATTTCAGCACAATACTGGGTCTTGTTTTTTTTATGCCAGAAAGGCTAGAGTGTGGACCGCCCTGGTAACCACCAGTGGTTCCACAATTCCCAATAAGCATACCCTCACTTACAAAGGAACAGAGCTAGTTGTTCCAGTAGAAATAAATTCAAGTCATGTTTAACCAATAGGTTCTAATCTGTGGGCAGTCCCAAAATATGTGTAAATCTTGCAGGGTCTCACAGGCACCTCCCAACATTTTATTTATACACACACACACACACACACACACACACACACTTTCACACTTTTTTTTTTTTTCTTTTTTCTATTCCCAGTGTGCATGGACCAGAATAATGTGTTTTTATATTTGTCTTTTCCTTCCTGTCCTCGTGATATCCACAACCCATATTTCTTGTACAGATATCATGTGGACAGAGAGAGAACATTTCTATCCAAAAGAAATAAATATATTTTGTCTGGAGTTTGGCTTTTTGTAAAGAAAAACACTGTAAAAGCTGTGTGCGTTTTCCTGTCTGATTTAGTCGGGGTTCTCCTATAGGGAAAATGTCTCTTACAAATGGGCATATTTTTACTGAAATATAATTTTTGTTATTGCAGTTCTCTTATTATACATTTGGGACAATTCTACACTAAAGCTGAAAATGACATAATAATCTGTTCCTTGATTCCTCAGAGCTGTGGAATGATGAACTACAGTCGAGGAGGAAACGTAAAGACCCCTTCAGCCCTGATAAGAAGAAGAAGCCTGTTGTTGTCTCTGATATCCTTTTGTCTGTTAAACACTTGACCTCTGGAAGGTTTCACACCCTTCATGACCAGGACATTTTTTGCTAGTCAGCACTGTGCTACTTTAACTGGCAATTGCTCATGCAACACTGTACCCAAAAGAAATTATTTTTTTTTTCACAAATAGAGCTTTTGTTTGGTGTTTTAATCACCACTGTTTTTTGCTATATAAGTGAACAAATTATGAAAATTAAAAAATTGCAAGAAATATGAGGGATATTTACCTTTTTACCAAGTTTTGTTGGTCCTGTTTACCACTAAAAGGCAAAGCCTGTGGTCCAAAACACTGCTCCTACTTCCATCTGTGGATATCAAAGATTTGTACTGACATGTTTCAATCTTTTCACCTCCCCAAAGATTTCTGTAGTTTGTGGTTGAGGACAGCCAGCCAGTCCTGCCGGTTGGTCTGTCCACTGCTCCCAGAGTTTTCACCAGGGCCCTGACTCCAGTTCTGGGGTTCCTGCATTCCTGGGGTGTCACTAGAGTACCTAGATGATTTGCTTCTGGGGACCAGTGTGTCTCAGATGCTGCACACTCTGGAGAGGTTTGCATGGGTTCTGAATTTACAGAAGTCTACCTTAATCTCAACCCAGAGGTTAGATTATCTGAGAAACTGTTTAAATTGTCGCCGTGAACAGAGAGCCTGAAATAAAATGCTAGAAAATGTAGTAGTTCATTAACTCCCTAATTAGCGATTAGCAGTGTGCATCACATACCCAAACATAATGCATGAAAATATCTTTAGGGAAGAACCTAGAAAGAATGTAATATGAACAATTCAAGTATTGTGACTAAAATCACATTTCTTTTAGGACAGAATATAGCATTACAAAAATGCACAACATATGAACAAGCGAGGTAGAAGAACTTCCACCCAACACCTTAAAAAGTAATGACAATACTCTCCAGTGATAAAAGCAAGAAGTGTGGACAGGAAATGACTGCACAACTTTAGCTTGACAGCCACTAGCAGTAAAATGATTGCTGAGAGCTCTCCCACCCCAGTATGGCCCCCCCCTCCCACAGGTGTGTTACACCATAACCAGAATGGAAAAGGGGGGAGACTGAACGATCAGTATTGACAGCCCTCCATGGCCACTAGCAGCATGCAAACGGTAACTATGTAAAGTAATACAAGAATAAGTATAGCATATATAAGGTTGTAGGTAAATTAGCAAACAAAGCAGCTGTTAGTAATTCAGGCTTAAACCGCAAGCAATATGAGGGCATAAATGCAGACCGCAGTTGAATCAGATGCCAGGTAAGCAGAATATAGAGCTGAATTACCAATTCAAAAGTCTATGGAGACAGGCAGGAACAGATAATCTCCTCTCACTAACATGGTTAATGCCCTCACAATGATTAGTTTGTCCTGTCAGCATTTATGGAAATAAGCAATTGTCCTTCGCTTCATAAAGTAGCTAAGGACAAGTTAGAGTACATGGAGGATCAGTTTCTGACATGAGGCACACTCTGGAGTGGCTTGTATGGGTTCTGAATTACAGAAGTCTACCTTAAACCCAGCCCAGAGGTTAGAATATCCAGGTCTGACCCTGGATACCATCCCAGCATAGACAAGAGTAATCTCCTCAAGACAAATGTCTTGCTCTGAAAACTTCGGTGGACTTGTTCAAGGCGCTCACAAATCCCTAGACTCGCCTTTTGCATAAGGGTTCTGGGAAAGATTATTGCCTCCTTCGAGACAGTACCCTTTTCCCAGGTTTATTCCATGCCCCTCTCATAGAATGTCTTGGCGGGATGGGACAGGAAGATGCAGATTTCCTGATGCTGTTACTTTCCAGCACGAGACTGTCTCCAGACTGCTGGATCCCCTCACTGATGCTGGAGATGGGAAAATAGTTTCTTCCTCTAACTTGCTGGATCCTGCCGATCGATGCTAGCCTGGTGTGCTGGGGTATAGTTTACGGCAATCTTTTAGTCCAGGGTACTTTGTCACTGCAAAAGAGGTCATTGACCATCTACAAGAATTGAGGGTAATTCACTTTGCTTTGCTACATTGGTCAGTGCAGCTTGAAGGACATCCCAGTGAGGATTTAGTCAGACAATGCCACGGCAGTGGCATACCTAATTCCTCAAAGGGGCACCAAAAGTCAGGCTGCTCAGCAGGAAGTGAATCTCATCCTGTCTTAGGAGGAACTTCATGTTCCTGCACTTTCCGCCACCCATGTTCCTTGTGTGTGTGAAATTTTACAGGCAAATTTCCTGAACCATCAACAACTGTCTTTTGGGGGAGTGGGCCTTTCACCCAGAGTTGTTTGCAGAGCGCTGCCAATGGTTGGAAAACAGACGTAGATCTGGCATCCAGCTCAGTGCAGTTTGTCTCCAGGACCAGGGGTCCTCGCTCACTTGCAGGTGGATGCTTTGGTGACACTGTCTACCTTATTTGCTTTGCAGGATTTGAATGGAAGGAATTCTGGTGATTGCCCTGAGCAGGCCAAGGAAAAGTTGGTACTCTGACATTTTAAACATGTCACTGAGTGACCCTTGGACCTTTTATGATTGAATCTTCCATACCGCTTTACAGTAGCTGGCTTTATTGGCAAGGCTGTTGAAAGTGGGGTCCTGAGGGACATGGGTGTTTCTGATTTGGTCATCCTGATCGTGCTGAGGCTTGGAAGACCATTTCCAGGAAGATTTGCAACAGGACTTTTGCCTTGTGTGAGTCTCTGGGTTTTCACCCTTGCAAATATGGGTGGGATACATTCTGGCTTTTCTACAGTCTGGGTTATATTTGAAATATACAATTTCGGACTTGGTGAGCCTTTTCAGAGACCAATTGCTTTACATTCTTTGATGGGGGTCTTTTTTTTTAATGCAAGGTTTAACACTCCTCATTCCATTGGTTGACTCTTGATAGACAGGAGTAAGGGGCCTGGAGCACCGGCGGGTGACCCAAGAAAAGGAGGATCGGGGTTGCTCTGTGCAAAACCGTTGCACAGAGCAGGTAAGTATAACCTGTTTTAAGGAACAATAGTGCAGTGTTGTGAAAATGTAAACCGTGTTAAATCATCAACATAAACATGTCCCTTACATACTTAAAGGTGACAAAAAAAAACCCCTTATATCTGAAAGTATTCGAACATAACCATAGGGTGTAAAAAAAAAAAAAAAACAAAACACAAGGGAGCACACACCTCGTGCATTATCACAATAAACTTTATTAAAACCTCAGACAAATGAGTACTCACAAAAGAACTGTGAATACAGGCATGTATCATAGACCCTTCAGTCTAGGGCAGTGGAGTCCCATCCTGGAACCAATGATTGGAAAAGGTTATGTATTTCGGGAGCCAACCTCCCTTCTGCAGAGCTAGCCAACCTGGTGTCTCAAAATCCTATATATGACCATGCCTGTATTCACCATTCATTTGTGAGTTTTCATTGAAGTTTTAATAAGAACATTTATTGTGGTAATACACAAGGTGTGTGCGCCCTCTCGTCTGTTATCTGAAGATCTCCTGATCTGTAGAGGGCTGCACCTACGTTAGTGTCGTGTACTGTATATCCGTGGAGAGCACCTAGATCTGAATGCTGGTGTTTTGTTTTTGTGCACTCTATGGTTATTTAAATATAAAAAGTCCCAATGAAGAGCCAAAAGGTAAACCAAGGGATCTTCTCTGTGACCGAAGTGACTCTTGACAGCCTCAGATCTTCCCTGTAGTGAAATTCATATAAAAAAGAGAAACGCTCTCCATTGTGTTAACCAGTAAATGATACAACTTTTAATAGGTATATGTACTTGCACTAGAAAGGAAGAAAAGATGCTTCATATCACATGTAGACTCAGTTTGCCAAAAAGCAACATGGCCTTAGCTGGTTTGCGCATGCAAAGTGGTGTGTGTTCCGGCTCCACCCATTGCATATTACAACAGGGGTAAATGCCCCTGATGATATCATTTTAGGAAATGCAGAGCGCTGCACTATTATTGAATATAATTTGTATATACCCCATTAGGGTATCATGCTAGCTGACAGTGATTTCTATATACCTTGGCGTGGTTGTTTGATTTTAGTTTAAAGCGGAGCTCCACCCAAAAGGGGAAGTTCGCTTTAAAGACTGGTCCCCCGCTCCCCATTAAGGATTGGCATCTTTGGGGAGCGGGTACCTGAAATTGACAGGTTGCCGCTGCGATCGCCTAGGTGATCAGAAGTGGTAGTTTCCTCCTACCCTCCCTGCCACATTAGTCTTCTGGGACACGTGGCAGGTCCTAGAAGACTATGGGGCTATTCAGGAAGCTCAGCGCTACTCGCGCATGCGCAGTGGGCACCCGGCTGTGAAGCCGCAAGCTGTCACAGCTGGGTGCCTACAGTGCCTGGAACACCAGACGGCTGTGGGGAAGACATCGTGAGATTGTGGGTCTGGTGAGTAGCTGTTTTTTAAAAGTCAGCAGCTACAGTTTTTGTAGCTGCTGGCTTTTTTATTTTTTTAAGTTTTTTACAGTGTGAGTGGAACTCCACTTTAAGTATAACTTTTTTTTTTTTTTTTTTTAAAAAAAAAAAGCCTTTCCAGAAGCACACCACATTTTGAGGATACAAACATTTTTGTTATTTCTTTTCAGTTTTGTACTACAAACATGTAGTAGAGTTTTTCAAATGTGACTGCAGACATGGAGATACTTTAAGACGACAGTCTTTCATTGCTAACATATTTTGGGGCATTCATTGGGTAACATATTTTTTTTTTTTTTTTTTTTTTTTTTGATTTTTCTGTTCCAACTTGAAACTGAAAGAACCAATTTAGTGCATGTAGCAGATCTGTTCTTTTCTGTAAATTGGTTCCATCAGGCTTGTTAAACCTCTTGTTAAATATAAGCGCGCACAATTCTCCTCCTACCAGAGATTATTTTTCCATATTTAACTGTGCGTGTTTTTTTTTGTTTTGTTTTTTTTTCTCCACTGCTGGCTTTCATACAAATCTTTGATGCACAATTTTTAAATGAAATTTTTTTTTTTTTGTTTTTTTTTTAGTTTGATAATCACTTAATAGTCCAAAATATATGGCTGCTGGTGGTCAGAACCTGACAAAAATGGCCTCCTTAGACATTGGACACAGTGTCCATTCACTGCCATCATAACTAATTATCTTCTTATTCTAGTAAAGCCTTTCAAACCATTGATTTGCATGCATTTCCCCTACCGTAAATTACATCAGCCCACACAAGAGCAGATTAAGTACTTTCGTCCATGATTATGTTTTGAGTGGAAAGCTTGTAGAGTTGAAAGATCTACTTTGTGATAACCAAGCAGGAATGCCTGGCTCACAATAGTCTTATGATCAAGAATTGCAAATAGTGTGTGCCAAGAAATGCTACAGATTATTTAAATTTGATGCACAGAGTAAAAATAAAAAACTCTTGTGTCCTTGGAATATAACAAAAAAAAGCCTTTCATGGCAATTTTTCCCTGAACGTTGCCACAACCCTAAGTTTTTAAAGGGGAACCTCATGTTTTTATGCACCCTTTCCAATAGGACCCTCTTCTTCCCTTCCTTTTTTTTTTTGTTCCTTTAAGAATCTTATTTCTCTGTAAAACAATGCAGATGACACATTATAGGTGAGGAATCAACTGGCATATGCAGATCGGTACAGGATCAAGAATAACCTTACCCTGCCAGTATCCAAATTGTTGAAATGCTGGGCCATTTCAAAGAGTGGTCAAAGATGGCTCCGCTCTTGCAAGTGTTGTATTAAATCATAAAGTCAGACACAACCCATGCCGCCAGTAACTGTACTGTCATTCCAAATGATCTATGTGGCACCAAATTATAACCCATATACGCTGTGTGCTACAAACTGCATGTGCTATGACATGCTGTTTCATTCACATGGCTTGTGGTTATATATATAATGCAGAATATTAATAAATGTAACATGGGATAATGCACTAGGCTGGTTTGCTCTCTTCTGTTTGTAGTTGTTTGACATGCAATAAATCTTATACCTGGAGTTCATCTTTAATTTCTGATTGAGGGCTTGTATTTACGTTTCTCCATATGTGAGAAGTATCCCTTTAATATATCCAGCATGCTATCTGATCATAAACCGACAAAATAATCAAAGAGCCTTTGTTTTTAGCCCCAGTTCAAATGAATTGAATGCATTTTTGAACCGCATCCTATACACATGACATGTGAACTAAACTGCTTTCTGTGCAGCTGGTTCACATATATGTGCAGGCGAATTTGCACCTGAACCACTAAGCGAAATCGCGCCGGACCTTTTTTTTTGTGTACAATTTGCATTGAAACCAGCCCAAAATAAATGTAAATCCAGTCTTAGAGGATTTTTTGTGTGCAATAAAATGGCAAATAAAGTATATTGCTGATAAAGCTGTTGCCACTGATTGCAACGACTGAATACTGGCAGCAGATATGTTAATGAGAAAAGCTGTAACAAGTCTGTGAACAGTCCTTATCTATACCACGTCCATATATTGTTTACATGTTACAAGATCTGGATATACTTGAAGATTGGACTACAATCAGAAAGGTAAGGTTTTCTGAGATATGCGTCTGTTTGAAGATTATCTTTTCTGAAAGATTTCTGTTAAGTCTTTTTTATTGTTACATAGGCCATGGCAACACTGGGTCCTCATCGGGTAAAGCCAGAAGGTAAGAATTAATAGTTTTGTTTTATTGACAGTCTTTTCCTTAAAGCTTTATTTACATGGCTTTGTTTTCCTACATTTTAAAATGAATGTCAGGCCAGCATATTCCCAATGATGTGTTGGCACAAGTGTAAATGACAGTCTAGAGGCTTCATTTGACCTTTACATTGTTGTTCCTTCAGATGCCGCAGGTCCTATTAAAGTGGAACTGAAGTTCTGCTATGATACACTGTGAGCAGGCATGCAATGTCCCTTTTTTGCAATAAAACATTACCTCCTCCTTACAGCAATGCCTGGACTGTAAACTGAACTGTGCATGCGCAGCTCAGTGCCTGGGCATGACCCTGTGTGCTGGAATGACTAGCTCCTGTGCATGTCAGGAGTGACCTCCTATGCTAGTCAATGAAAATGGCTGAAACTCAGCATGCAGGAGAAGATGCTGGCGAGGGAGCATTGGGAAGGTGAGTATTTACATGTTTTAGTTCCGCTTTAAGGTTCATTTTGGTTTGTAGGCCAAGCAGGTCTGTTTTATCCTGGGCCTCGTAGCCCTGAATTATTTTGTGAGGGTGCAGAAGTTCAGGATGGAATCTATCAGGTCCGCAGTGGCTTACCTTCTTCAGGGGTATTTCTTGGCCTCTATAGACATCAAGGATGCATACCTGCATTCTCATCTGTGTGTGGCACGAGCATTTCCTGTTTTATTGTCTGACACACATTATCAGTCTGTGGCACTACCCTTTGGCCTGGCCTATGCTGCTTGGACATTTACCAAGGTTCTGGCTATGGTGACACTACAGGGGATTGCTGTGATTGGTTGTCTGGATGACGTGCTTCACAATCACAATTCGCACTCTGCAAGAGTTCAGGTGGATCCTGAACATTCAGAAGTCTGCTCTGACCTCAGAGGACATCCTGTACCAGCTCTCTCTGCTGTGCACATTCCAGATTTAGAAAATTGGCATACCTTGGGTCAAGTAGTGGTTTCTTCATCTGGACAAGTTTCATCAGATTTGTGTGCAGTGGGGCACTCTGGACGTGGACCTTCTAGCATCCTGTTTCAACAGGTGCCAAAGTTCATGGGAAGAGATGGGGATCCTCTGGCGGATGCAACGGATGCTTTGGTGGAATCGTCTTATTTATAAGTTTCCTCCCCTCAAGCTTCTGTCATGTCTACTGAGCAGGTTTTGAAGCTGAAGGGATTCCAGTCATTTTGGTGGCCCCAGTTTGGCCTCTCTGCAACCAGCCACACAATTGGCGTACCAGGGCCAGACATTCCCTGGTGGCTGCCTCTCAGGGAAGATCTTCTGTCTCAACAACTGATCCACCACCCTGGCTTTGATGGCATCGCTGTTGAAAGCCAGCTGCTTAGGAACAGAGCGTTATCGGTTTGTGATCCCTACCATGCTGAATGCATGAAAGTCTACCTCCAGGAAGATCTACCATCGTGGTGTTTTTTTTTTTTTTTTTTTTTTTTTTTTTGTCCTCCTTTGCATCCTAAAGAAGTTGCACTGCATGGCTTGAATGTGGTCCAGGGAGTGTACCTGTTTGCTACAGATTCTTTCAGAGATCAGATTCTCTGTGATCCTTAACAGGCGGAGAGAGGGCATGAAGACTTCCTCTGCCACCATTTTCAGGTGGTTCAGGCTTATACTATCAAGCATCTGGCTTCAACCTTCCCTGTTACAGCACTATTTTACAAGGACGCTTAGCGTTTAGGCTTTCCGACATCATCTGTGTCTCAAGTTTGTAAGGTGACTACTTTGTTGTCTGTGCGTACCTTTTTACTAAGTTTTACAAGGTGAATGTTTGCTTTTGTATGCTTGTTTTGGTTGCAAAATTTTGCAGATGGCTGTTTTGAGATTTTTTTCTGTTTCTTCCTGGGGGAATTGTTTTTGGGTGGGCGTGTGTATGCCTGTTTGAGCCCATGTTGGCCTGTTTCCCACCCCTGATTAGTTGTGCACTGCTTTGAGACATCCCTGTGATCAAGAATTAACAGATGCTGCAACAAATGAAAGGGAAAACGGGAATTTTGTTACTGCAAAATCCCTTTTCTGAGTTCATTGTCACACAGCACCCATCCCTAGTTAGTGAAAAGACAATACAAAGAAATAAAAACCAACTGATTTGCCTATAGCAGAGATGGTGTTTATAGCAGCTAGGACCACCCATAGACTGTGCCAATTTTTTTTCGTGCATAGTGTCCAACTCCTGTAGGTGGTGTGATAAACCCTATGGTCTAGAATTGGAAGACTGTGTGTCTATAAGTGACCTCAGGGATTTTACGGTAACTAGTGTCTGTCCTTCCCTCCCTTCTTTCTTTTTTCTTTTTTTCATGGATCCTTGTGACATGTTATAAAATGTACAATTTGTCTTCATAATAAAATATTTTTTTTTTTTTTTTTTTTTTTATGTGCAAGGCTGTTTTAACAGCCTATTCATATCAAAGCACCCCCCCCCCCCTTTTAAAATGCTATGAAAGATCCAGAGTATTTCAAATGTGTCAAAATAAGATTGCTACATTGTAACTCTTGACCCTGCAGATGATCTGCTAGTGTCAATTTACAATATCTGCATCTGTGATGCTAAACAAGTCCCTGCCTTTGGTTGCCAATAAATGTGATCATGGAGTTGAAGGAGACAAGGGTGTACTACACATGCTCAGTACATTTAGATTAAAGTGATGCTAAAGGTTTTTTTTTTTTTTTTTTTTTTTTTAGAACAAACTTGTTATACTTACCCACGCTGTGCAAGGGTTTTGCACAGAGCAGCCATGAAACTCCTATTCTTGGGCCCCCAGCTGGCGCTCCTGGCTCCTCACCCCTGTTGAGTGCCCCCATAACAAGCTGCTTGCTATGGGGGGCAAATCCAACACAACAAACACTTTACTCCTGCGCTAGGAAAGGACTCGGTAGACCCAATAGGAATGTTCTGGAATTTTCTGGAATATGCACTGCTTGCTGCCCTCAACAGACCGGGGTGGTCCGAATACACTGGATACAAATGGAAAAACAGAAAAAGGGTGCACCGACCTAGTGCATTATCGTTTAAAATAATTTATTAAAGAAACAAAAATAGGTATCATACTCACAATGGACATAATAACACAGGCATGTCAAACTGAACAAGATGTATGATCCAAACAACATCTGAGTCCATACGATGGAACCCTGGATGACCAACTGTCTAACGCGTTTCGAGGACACAACCACTCGTGCGTGCTCACTCCCAAGCACTGCTCTGTTTGTCTAAGATAGGGCTCGGCCCCCTGCTGATCCCTCCTCACTGGGTGTGATTGACAGCAGTGGGAGCCAATTTCTCTGTTGCCGTCTCTGAACTAGTGAGGAGGTGGAGAGCCAGAAAAGCAACCGCTTTCATGCATATTGCTGGATCTGGACTGGGCACAAGTAAGCATTGGGGGCTGCAGGGGGAGCTGCATACTGAAAGGTTTTTACCTTCATGCATAGAATGTGTGAATGTAAAAGACCTTCAGGTTTTTCAATTTCAGTTTTTATGGAAATGTGTGGCACATTCTAAGTCCAAACTCCAGCCATTATCACTTTTTCTGGTTTTAATCTGTTTGTAGTAGGAAGAGCCACTCTTGCTGTTCTGGATACATTTTTTTTGGGACAAAGTGGGGGGGAAATCTAAAATTTGACAGTTGTCACTAAAACTGAAGTAAAATCTCTTGACGAGTTTGTCAATTTTATCATGTTAGTTACAGTAAAGATGGAGAAACATCAGCACGCAGCAAGATCTGAGGACGGGAGGCTGCATTATGATGGAGAGTGGTACGGCCGAGGGCAGACTATCTGTATAGACAAGAAAGATGAGTACCCAACCAGGTAAGTATTTTGCTGAGCTCTTAAAGTGTTACTGAACTTACAACAGTTAATCAGTGTCTATACGCAGTAAAGCATGCTTGTTATACTCACTGTGGAACTTGAGGGGGTTAATCCTCTGCATTGTGTAAAAAAGGATGTTTTGATCCTGACTTATCTGATCCTCCCCTTCCACGTTCCCCATTTCATCTCCTGATAGAACATAGCCTTGGAAACACTCTGGACATGCTCCGTTTGGGGTGTACTGCTAGAGGTTTCTTTTTCTTGGGAGAGTGCATGTGATCAGCACAGGGCCAATCAGCATGTCCAGACAGAGGGTCAGGGGTTATCCAATCTCATAGGGCAGTCAGCGGAGAATGAAAACTTTCTACAACCTTTAACCAATGCTTAGCTGGACACTGATAGAAGTCACTAGACCTCTATATACTGCTGATGAGAAAATTGTATTTAGCCGTTTATATTTACTAAAATGAATTGCATTTATATGTTGTGTACTGTGGGAGACCAGATATAGTGGATGCAGGGTCCTGGGTTTAGTAACACTTTAAAGCCATGTCAAAACCAAAAAAGTCCACAACACTCTACCAGCTGAACCTTATGTACAGTATTGTATATTATACTTGTGTCTCTCTTTTTTGGAAAATGTTTAATTTTGCTGACAATCTATGTGAAAACCTACCCCCGACCACATTATACTTGCTATGCCTGTGCTACCCTGTCACTCCTTCCTCCATTGCAGTCACAACTAAAATACCTGATGTCAGATTTCTGGCATGCGACTGTGCTTGAGCCTAATCACTGATTATTAGGGCTCTTCATGTGTGTATTTGATCCATGTATTTTGCCGTTTGCCTAAACTTCAGCTTTAAAGCATCCGCCATTCAAGAAGCCGTACTACCCACTTCTATGAATGACACAGGATCTAGGAATAGAGGGGGGGGGGGCAAGCTATAATTTGCCTGTACCCCATTCCTAGATCCTGTGTTTATAGAAGCTGTACTACGGCTTCTGTGAATGGTGGCTCTGCCAGGAAAGGGCAGGCATAGTCAAGCTCATGACAGCCTTTTTAGCTGCATTAACCCCTGCCACATCAAGATTGCAGGGGTAAGGGGTAGAACATGGGAATATTTCAACAGAAAGTATCAATAAAATGGACACATCATTCTAATAGCAAGTTTATGACTTTTTTTTTTTTTTTAAAGCTATACTTGGGCTTTAAGCAAACACTGTTTTATGTATAGCTTCTAAATCCTTGCTTTTTATTTTTTTTATATCTTGCAGTGCCGTCATCACAACTATAAATAGCGATGAGGTTTGGTTTAAAAGACAAGATGGCAGCAAATCAAAACTATACATTTCTCAGCTTCAAAAAGGGAAATATAGCATCAAGCACATCTGACTACCGGAATACATTGGAGTCAATGCAAAACCTTTTGGGGATCAAAACTGTGCCAAGTCATGGGAAGTCTGTTGACCTGCTCTTATGACTTTTAATTTCAAGTATTATCAGGAATGTGTATGTGAGCATGTAGTGTATGATTTTCATGACTGTGTGAATATGTACGTACAGTATTGTGTATACAATCTCAAGATAATCATTTATAGGTAAATATATTTGTGCATATCATGGGTACAATGTCTGAAATACCTCCTGACCTCAATGAGCAATGTGCATATTACAGATGAGCTGTCCCAGTAATCTGCATAAGGATGTCTAAAGGTACTCCTAGACGTTACATGCCATGGTGTGTAATACAAAGCACTTCAGCTCCTGTGTGTGCGTGTGGCTTTTTTATTTTTATTTTTTTTTATTGCTTTCTTTTCAGTGAATTCAGTATCCTTAAAAATAGATGCAACCACTGGTCACTAAGGTGGAAGAAACGTTGGTCAGGCAGCCAGGTTGGAAGTTTTTTGTTTGGCCAATTTCTTTATCCAAAACGAATAAGCTTCGTGTGAAGGTTTAGTCTATATATGGATTCTAAGATATCTTCTGAAAGACTGAAAGAAGGGAGGTCTTTAGGAAATGTGTTAATGAATGACTTCCAGCTGTGGATATTTGGTTAAACTGACTTTTTGTGTATTATTGACTTTCTGTAGGAACTGCATTCAACTGATCTAATTAATAAAAGATGCCCATATTGACATTTAGGGGTTTATTTACTAAAGCTGGAGAGTGCAAAATCTGGTTCTCTTCTGCATAGAAACCAGTCGGCATCTAACCTCAGCTTTTTCATTTAAGCTTTGGCAACTGGAAGCTGATTGATTTTCTATGCAGACGTGAGCCTGATTTTGCACTCTCCAGCTTTAGTAAATCCCTTAGTCACACTGGGAAGGCAGTGTATTGAAGAAATGTGCAGTAATCCGTTTTAAACAAGATTTAATATATGGTGTGTGGTGTGTGTGTGTTTTTTGTTTTTTTTTTTTTTTGTTTTTTTTTTTTTTTCTTCTTCTTTCAACATATGAACCCCCCTATTATAGCTGTATAAAGGGGTCAGTAAACCTAAGGTTCAACTCTGTATTAACAAGAGATAAATCTTCCCCGGTGTGTATTTTAAAGGTTCTGGAGTGTATCAGAACTGTAAATTTTCCTTCAGAGCCCTTTCTTAAATAGGACTGACAACCTGTCTGATTACCTTGATAGACTGCGGGTGGTAAACCTATAGTTTAATAGGTAAAAGGTGTGTACATTTCATTGACATAATGGCAAATACCTCGTGTTGTATATGTAAATATTGGTTGTACTTTAGGTTTACGGATTCTTTATTTCAGAACAAAGTGAGTGATATAGCTGTACATTCTCTATCCAAAACAGCAGATTCTTTGAAACAAAACTTGTGAACATTATATTTGCTTTTGAAAAATTTTTTTTTTTTTAACCATAAATACGATATTCCAACATGTCTGTCAATGAAATATTGATTTTAATGCCTTTTTAATTGGATGCAATAGATACACTGTTGGATTGTAACAAAATCCAACTAACTTAACGCTTCAGTTATTTACTTTTTAATTTTATATTACGTTATTGTGTTTGGCTAAATCTGTGTCTGAAAGCTTCCTTCATCAGCTGTCAGTATATGAACTATGATATATTTTAAGTTGTGTTTGAGCCTGTCATGTCATTGTCATGTTACCATAAAAGGTAAACTGATCTGGCATGAATTGTAGCTACGGTTGCCTGTAGATTGAGATTTTATACACCTCAGGAACCACAGATAACCAGGAAGATTAAATCACATGCTTGAGCCCTGGTCTGCCATTCACATTCCTTTTTGGTCTGTCATAGTGGGTAGCATCATTGGCCAATAGGAAGGTAGGGTAGAAAGGCTAGTCTTCACCACTGCTAGGATGTGCTGAAGTTTGCAGAGCATCTCATCCCAGGTTTTCATGAGGCCCGAGGTGTTCTTGAAGCATGCACGTCATGTGTGTAGGCACCACGGTATGCATGTGGTCAGTTTTTAACCTTTTTGATCTATTTAAAAAAATTTTAAAAGCTTTTATGTAAGCACTCCTATTATCAACTAGGCATTAATATTAGGAGGAATGCAGTGGAATTTTGCTATTGGCCTTAAATTTTTTTTTTTTTTGTCTTATTTTTGCATTTGCCAAACGTTTTCACTACTGAAAGGATTGACACGTCCAAAAAGATTATGCTCCTTTTTTATATAAGGAATAAAAAGTGTTTTATGATAAACGTATTTAGTAGAAAAGAGAAACCATTTGAATTTACTTTCCTTGCAGGTTGTTGGCATGCGGAAAAGCAGGCCATTGTTGAATCCATCACAAACTGCAACTATTGTGTATGTGTTAGATGACCTGGCTATAGATGGGTCTTTGTTTGGGGCCAATGATGTAAATACTCTGATAATTCAGTGTAAAATTTAAATCAGATTTTTTTTTTTTTTTTTTTATCAGAGCATCAAAATCTGAATCAATTGTCTGTTCCAGTATATTGAAAATTGTATAGGATTTCAAAGACCACTGCAGCTGCCTATTAAATGAGTAATCAACTTACTTTCTGAACCTACTTTTAACTTTCTTTTCTAGCAGTTGTTTATTTTCTCCTCAATCAAAATTCATCTCCATGTAGCTGCAGGGCATCTCTGCTTTCTTGCAGCTACCCTACAGTTTCAATCTTTTTCAATCTCAATGTTTTTGTCTTACTGTTGCTGGATGGGACATTGTGGGGTGTGCCTAGAAGTGCCCCCTGAGCATTGGACCCCTACATAATTTAGAGCTGTTGGCATTGATTTTGTGCTTGGTCTCTCTGAAGACTTTTAGTGTGCCATTTATGCTGGCTGCAGGAGCTTCCCTCATTTTTATTAGTTGCTCGGTGCCTATTTTGAGTGTCGTCATTACACTGGGTGAAGTTTCAATCACACACTCCAGTCTCTTTCCCACTAGACGGCTAGCAATTGTCTCCCTGCTGCTGCTCCTTCTATGAGAGCCACCTGGAACAGCAGTCCCAGATCTGTTTCCACTGCCCTCCTGCTGAGGCACTTGGTCATCTCCTGTCCACTCTCAGCCCTCTGGACTTGAGTATCTGTCAGTTGCCCAGGTTCACTTGTTGGCTCTGTTCCATTTTTAATGAGTGATTTTTCACTAAGTGGTCGTTATGGCTGTGGGTCCAGTCATTTCTTGCCTTAAAGTGCTTACCTTTCCACTTGATGCTAAATCTGCCAGCAAGCCTTCTTTCTAGAGTGGGGAAGGGGAACATTTGGAAGTCCCTGATGAAATTCCTGCTGTTTTGATGCAAGGGCAGGTGTCCCACGGTTACAAGATAGCTTTCACCTTTTTGTCTTTTAGGTGCATCCTCTGCACCTGGCAGATCTCCATCTTGCGCTCTGGGCCCTCGGAATAAAGGATCATTGTTCCAGTTCCTGCTCTGGAATGTTTTCAAGGGTTTTACTCTAAGGTGTTCAACATTTCCAAACCCAAATGGGACATTCACCTCATTCTGGACCTCAATGCCTTAAATGCTTACGTCTTGTCCAAACATTTTGAATATCTTCTATTTGAAATTCATGATTGTTTCTCTGAATTAGGAAGACCTTCTGGCTTCTTTATTCTGCAAGATGGCTTCTATTTTGGTTATTCCATATGGGCCCAGGAAGGATGAGCTTCAGCTTATAGTTCAACCATTTCTAGGTGTCTTTTTAGTTGATGCGTTTTTTTTTTTTGTTTTTTTTTTTTTCCAAGTTTTGAAAAAATCTTACTGCAAGTCCCCTATTCTTGATGGGCCTATTGGCAGTTGTTTGCCGTTGCCCACCCCTCAGATTGACAGCTTTTGGACATCCTGAAGGTTTTAAGACTTCCCATGTCCATCAAAGGACAGAATGGAATGCAAAGAAAATTGGATTATTTTACTTACTGTGGAATACGTTTCTCGTAGTCCATTAAGGGATACAGGTCTCACCTCTGTGTGTTTTTTTTGTTTTTTTTTTGTTTTTTTTTTGTTTTGTTTTTTTTTAATTATACTCTTGGCGCTGCTTATAAGCATGCTGATATTAGCAGGGGTTCTATCCAGGCCTGGCCTACAGAATTTTTGTTTTTACCAGCGTCAAATTCTTATTTCTGTAGCAGTATAACCCAAAGGGTTAAGACTAATTGTATCTCCGAGTGAACTCTAAGAAAAGGAAACTAGTAAAAGGAAATGATTCCTGTGTTTGACACTGTTCAGAATTTTATGTTGTCATGTGGTTCTTTGCTTCTGCTCCAAATTTACTCAGAGAAAAGGTAGATACTAGCGTCTCACATATTGGGCAAAAGATCCAACCTTGTGTGGGTAGCATGCACGCTAATGTTAGCAGGCATTGCATGTCTCTTTTGCAATAGTCTGCCTGTTCAGAGTGAACTAGAATAGAACTTTAATTTTGCTTTAGATTTGTTCAGAGAGTGGTCAATTGATAAGCCTGCTGAGGTTGGTCTGACTGCAGGTTTTTATCATTATTGGATGGATATATATATATATATCTCAACGTAAGAGATGTCCTTCAGGTAACTGATAGAACCCCTTGCCTTGACTAGCACATTGTATAGTATCCTAAGCAATAATTGGAGTTTTAGTTTAAATAGGTGAGGTTCACACAAAATTCTGGGTGGAGAAGGCATTCAGCATCCATGTTTTTGGTAACAACTTCTCCCTCCAAGGTGAACAATGCATCTAGCCATGGCACAGATCTTGCATACAGGCTTTGGGCCACTGTGGACAAAGTACTGACAGTTTAAATTTAGATTGATAATCTTAGTGCAAGGATTTAGGAGATGTTTGGCAGGGGTCAGAATGCCCTACCAAACCACATTTTGAATGAATACTTATTTCCCCAATATACATTGAGGTGAATTGTATCAAAACTAGAACAGATCTGCATGGCAGCCAGTCTGAAAATAGAAGCTCAT